CAATGGCTTATCTGAGGATGTTTCATCATTGTGTATCTGAAAGCCAGTGTCACCAAAATCCTATATAGTAACCTAGCTAGAAATTAGGGAATGGTTTTTTTAAAATTATGAAATTTGGATAATTTAATAATTACTAATGTAGCACATGTATGGAAAGGCAGCATCCTAGGAACTTAAAACAAAAGGCATCAAAAATTAAATTCTTCAAGATTTTCTTCTTATTTTTGGCACATTCTCTTTATACCTTCTCTCTCTTTCCCTGGAAGTGCTGGGGTTGAAGTTAAGTCTTTTTTTTCCCCCGCTCTTAGTCTTTTTATCACATAAATACCTCCATCTGGGTTCTTTGACCTTAAACAAATCTCTAAATCTGCTTTAGCTCCTTGCAGTTAGTTACCTTGTATGTTTCACAGGGAACATAGGTATCACAAAAGTGTCTTGGAAACCAAACAGAATGTTACAAATGTAATTTGCATGAATAATTGTGCTTACTGTGTATTTACTTGGCATGTCAGTCATCCTTCTTGGGCAGTGAGCATTACCATCCCATTTTACATTTAAGGAAGCTGGGGCGTGGAGGTATTATTAACCTGCTGAAAATCATATGGTTAATTTGTGGGTGGTCTTTTTGATTCCTGTGGCAGAAATCTTAGCCAATATCCTGAAATGTCAAAATTTACAGAATAACTTAATTTTTTTTTCTAGTGTTTGTGAATTGCCTAAGTCTCATCTATCATTTGGACATTTAGAAAACGTGTAGAAAAGATGAAATATATTTCTCAACGAAATACATAATTTTCACTAAAGTTTGTGTATTTATCCAGTATATATTTATGGAATACCTACTGTGTAGCAGAAATGTATTTTTCCCTGGAAATATGTAGATATAAGTGTTCAAAAAAATCAAGATTCAAATACATCAGTAAATTGTTCTCTGGACTATGTGTCTCTGATCTCAGGGCATGGACAGTGACTGTTATGGGAAGATTTAACCTAATTTTAGAATGACCCATTGGCTATGGGTGTCTTTTCTAGAAGTGGAGTTAGAGAAATTGAGCGCCTGAGTCTTGCTCTTTTTGTTTCTGGGACCTGGCTAGAGAGAAAACATATGTGTCTTGGCTTTGGGCAGCCCTTTCTATTGTAGGCTCTCCCTAATTATCAGTATTTTTTCCTAAAATATATCCATCTTTTCCTCTGCTTTTGGCTTTTTAACATCTTTTTCCTGTTTCTCTATAATGTGAAAGTTCAAAATCTTGCCTGATTTTAGTTATTTGTGGTGTTTTTCTGTTTTATTCAGCCATGTTAGTTTGTATGCATCATTGCCTTGATTTTTTTTTTTTTTTTTTGGATGATACTTCTATCCATGATTGCACAGTTCACGATCTTCAAAGAACTTGAAAATGGTAATCTGACATTCCCTTTGAGCCTAAACCTTGCTATAGAATTCGATCAGTTCACCACTTTCCTCCCTTATTCTATTTAATTTTTCTTTTCTTTCTTTCTTTCTTTATTTTGAGACAGTATCTTGCTGTGTAGTTCAGGCTGTCCTTGAACTTGTGATCCTGCTGCTTCAGCCTCCAAAATGCTGAGATTAAAGCCATGTACCTGATTATTCTGTTCCCTTTTTAAAGCATGATAAGTGGGTGCCTGTGTGTTTTGGTTTTTTGCTAGGGCTTCTTGCCTTCCTCTCATTCTTCCACACCCCTTTCTTAGAAGTTACAGGGAGCACTTTACAGAAACAATTCAGGAATGAAAATATACATTGAAGGGAATTGACATTTTTATAACGTTCAGCCTTCCCATCTACACCTTGATACACCTCTTTTTTTAATCGCCTCATTTAAAAATATATTTTGGAAACTTTAAATAGGTATAAAAATAGAAGGCATATAGTGGACCCTTGCTATCCATCACTTAGATTCAATAGTTATCAATATATTGCCGATGTTGTTTCATCTGTACACCTACCTTCTACCTTTTTGTGCTGTAATTTATGTAACAGTCACTCATTGTATGTGAACAATTTAGTGATGCCAAGTCTGTGTGTCATTTATTTCCTCAACGTTTTGACTTGTGTTAAAGATTAAAAATATGTGTAATTTTGACAGCATCTTTAAATACTATTCAAAGTGTGCTTGATGTCTTATTTTCCCTGGAGTATCCTATTTTATTTTGTGCACATGGATTTATTGATTTTATTTATTTTTTCTATCTCCTGGGTACTGTTGAGCAAAACCAAATGTTTCTCTGTTTGTACCAATACATTTTTGTGACATTATTCTGTAAATGTTAACTTTCCTTTTAATTGTGCCATATTCATATTTTGAAATGGATTTTCAGCATATGGTATTGTTTGTTCACAATATTTTGTATTAAGCACAGCCCTGCTGGCTCTCTTAAGTCTCTGTAAGACTTATCTGGTCTCCTTCTAATTTCAAATGGTGTCTTCTTTTCTGTAGTAGTTTCCTTGGGCTGCTGTAACAACTACCATAGGGTAGCTTTAAATAACAGAAATTTTAATTCATAATTTTGGGAGTGCCAGAGTTCAAGGTTGGCATGTGGCAGGGCTGGTACCTTCTGGACACCTCATGGGAGTGTGTTCTGTATCTCTCTCCTGCCTTCTTTTGGCTGCTGGCATCTCTTGGTGTCCCTGGCCTGAACTAGTATGACCCAGTGGGCTCCATCTTCACATGGCTTTTGCCATTTGTCTGTGTCAGAGCTCTCTCTTTAGAGGAACTGTTTTTTTTTTTTTTTTTTAAAGATAAAAGGAGGGAAACATTAACAGACATACAACATTGTACAACATATCACAAGCACAATACAGACAATACAGAGTTACAAACAAAGTGGTAGGGAATTAACAATGGTGGTTGTACTACATATTGATATCTTCAAAGTGGCTTCTCATGAAAACAGATATAGACATGCAATACTGGTCAACCAAAGACTCATTGACAGTTTCTTTCAGCATAGAAACAGCAGATAGAACAACCATGTTATCTATCCTGTATATACATACATACAAAATTTCTCCTTCTTTCCCTTCTCTTTTCCCACATCCCAGAAGCCCTTTACTCTTCGGTGGTTTCCTATCATTTCACAGTGTCTATCATACCTCTGAGTTTAAATTAACTCTTTCAAGTTTTACACTAGTGACACAATGCGATGCTTGCACATGTATGTTTGATTTATTTCACTTATGAGTATGGTCTCTAGTTGTGACCATTTAAATATAAAGGCCTCGAGTTTATCTTTCTTTACAGCTGAGTAATATTCCATTATATAAAAGTACCATAATTTTCTTATCCAATCCTCGGTGGATGGACATTTGGGTTGCTTCCACATTTTAGCAATTACAAATTGTGCTGCTATGAACATAGGTGCACATATATCACTGTGATATGATGTTTTTAGATCTTCTGGGAAAATACCCAGCAGGGGGATAGCTGGGTTGAATGGGACCTCTAAACCTAGTTTTCGGAGGAATCTCCAAACTGATTTCCACAGTGGTTTCACCAGTCTGCATTCCCACCAGCAGTGGAGGAACTGTTTTTGGATTTAGGGCCCATCCTAAATCAGGATGGTCTCCTGCCAAGATCCTTGGTTTAATTATCTGTGTAAAGACGTGGTCCTCCACATAAAATCATATTCATAAGGATCATGGCTAGGACTTGGGCCTGTGTTTTTAGGGAGTATCAATCCACTATACTTCCTAAGCAGCAGACTTCTCTGTATTCCCATTTTAACATCTGAAGATTTAGCCCTGAGAAAAGATCAAAGCTTTATGGTCTGACTGAATGAAGTTTTTTCAGGACATGGGATGGCAACATAGGGCCATTAACATACTGCCAGGCTGACTACGTATCCTTCTGGTTGTTCCCTATGATTGTGTATTGCTCTTCATTGATCCACTGTCCACAGAGCTGCCACTTCAGATTTTTAAGAAGTGTAAGCCTGGCCATAATTCTCTTTTCATTTTAGGGCTTGCCATGGAGCCTCAAATAAAGTCCTTATGTAACTTTGAAAAGGTGGCAGGTAATGTCTTCAGTCTTCCCTCTCATCCCCTGAGCCATCACATACACTGTTCGCTCTACATAAGTTGGAGTACTCCATGGCCTTTCCTTGCTGTTATTCTGACTTTAGACCTTAGCGTAGATGTGTCTCTGGAGGCACATATCTCAGCTCCTTGATGTCTCCACAGCAGTGCTACACACTGGGTCACAGCATTTTTCACTTGAATTGTGTTTACTCCTCTGCTTATCTCAGTTCCTTTCTGGCACCAAGCCAGCCCCATTCACTGCTGCTTCAGTTTCAGGCATAGTACTTACTGTTTACTGAATGAAAAATAAATATAAAAAGCAGGGGTCTATGTTGAAATCCTAGGTATTTTTACCTCTTTTATTTAAGAAGGTAATGGGTAGAACTAGTTTAGCCTGTAGCGTCTGCTTTCTTTCTTGGAATGACTCAACTATCACAGATATGCAGGTATTTGAACATGTTTCAGGAACCAATAGAAACAGATCTTTTGGTGTCTGTTCTCAGACTGTAGCGCTGATAGATCTGAAACTGGTTTGGCTATTATAATGGCATCCTAGCGAAAATTGCCCCCCTGTATCAGGGTACTCAAAACATTATTTAACCTCAGAAATGAAAAACTATTTAGAAAATGACAGAATTGATTTAGTGGTAAGCATAACACCAAAAAATGTTGTATATCTGACGATAATGACTAAAACTGTTGTCATACTTAAGGTGATTTTTTTCCCCTTGTGGAGTACATATTCATATAGTAAATCCTAGGGGAGAATTGTACTTGTGTTTCTGTCAAGGACTTTGGAAGGACTTGCTTTTATTATTAGTTTGTGAAAAATGAAAAGGACTTGCTTTTATTATTGCTTTGTGAAAATTATTGCTGTGTGAAAAATATACTTTTTAATTTACATACTCTGTTTCTCTGCTTTGTTTTCCCATGTTTGTGCTGATGAGGTATTTTTCTCTCATAGTTATGCCCCATGGTGTCCATCATGCCAGCAGACTGATTCCGAATGGGAAACTTTCGCAAAGAATGGTGAAACCCTTCAGATCAGTGTGGGGAAGGTGGACGTCATTCAGGAACCAGGTATTGCAAATGGTGAAGGTTGAATGAAAAAGTTTAACAACTTTTTATTTTGAATATTTATTTATTTTAAAATTTTTTTTAAGCATATAGAAAAGTTGGAAGACCAACATGATGATTACACACGAACTAACCACTTGGAATCAACAGGTTATATTTTAGCTTATCTGGGTCTGCCTATGTATGCATGTGGTTACACATATATTTATATGAAAATATATTTGTTTTTATTTTTTTTCCTGAGATATTGGCAATTGGTTACAGACATTGTGATTGTTTACCTTTAGTTCTTTAGTATGGTAAAATCTTCCTGATGATTTTTTTGTAGGTCTTTTCATAGCTGTTGAACCAAGATCCAGTCAAGTTTTACAAGTTATATTTGGCTGTTAGATGTTCTTACTCCATCTTAATCTAGAATTATCCCCCATTTTTTTCATAACATTAATATGTGGAAGGGAATAGGCCAAGATTTTGCTAGGTTTTCCTTTGTTTCCTGATACTTGTGTGAGATAGTACCATGGCTCTAGCCCTCCAGCTGAACCCATGAGGGACATTGCTGTAGGCTCTAGGCCTTTGGCTGTACTTGTGTGGACATTGCTTGGGATCCAGACCTTTAATGCTCTTTTTTCTTCATTTTCTGTAAACTGGAAGTTAGATGTGTATACATGATTTGATTTAGGTTCAAAGTTTATGGCAAGAGTACTTCATAGATGGTGCTGGGACTTCATGTTGCATTGGGCACATATTGACAGTATTAGTAAAGTTAAGTAGGAACAGTTGGTTGATGTGGTAACACTAAATTTCTCAATTAAGAAAATCTCCACTTTTGCATTATCATTTAATCTGTGGGAGGATACATTTGAGTTTTAAGATGAATAATGATCTTGCCTGAACCATATCTCATTGTGCATTTCAGAATGGTGAATTTCTAATTCTGTGATTTAGAGTAAAAGAGAAAAGAACTTAAATTTTGAAAAAGTACACACAGTAAATTTGTATTTGTAATTTAAAAACAGCTGTATTATATGTGAGTTGGGGAAAAAAGCTGGACTTCTGTTATCTAAATTTCTAAAATGTAGCTTTTTTCAAATTTTATTGTTCTTCTATTAAAATTGAATTCCTAGCTTCCTCATATCTGTATTAGGGAAAAAGGCAGTAGGCCTGGAAGAGTACCCATTTACCTTTTGTAATAACTGTGAGTCCATAAACCACGAAGCAGTCAAGTACCAGTTACTTAGACAGCAGAGTGCATGGGATACATTAAAACCCACATATGGACAAGCTCAGGAGAGAGATTTCCATTAGAAGCCAGAGTCTTTGAGACTCAATCTTTTAAGAATCTAAAACAAGTCTTTCTTTGGCCATCCTGTACTTAGAGGCAGAAAGTTATAGTAAGTTCATGGTTTGGGTTGTTCATTATAATGGGTTGTTCTATTTGGAGAGCAAATCATTGTAATTACATTTTTTGCTGAACACTTACTTTTATCTTTTAATAGTTTGAGTCCAAGGAAAACTGGTGTAAGACTTGTTAATCAGTGGGGACTAGCACGTTTCATGATGGCTTTCTTAAAAATATAGCTTCACACTTAAGTCATTTGTTATCCTGCTGTATATTCGTGGCATTATTTAAATTAGAAGAGTTAAAACAGGCTTATGATCAATTCATAAACCTAATGTTTAACCTAATGTAGTCTTTCTCTCTTAGAATGTAGACTACAGCTACTTTTCCATTGTGACTGGATCGAGACTAAAGAAAGAGAAAGATTGATTAATGGTGTAGTCAGGGTTTGTAAGGGAATAGATTTAACACGGGACACATACCTTTATAGGATTATCTTTCATATTCACCCAACAAGTCAAATGCAGACTAGTGCAGGAGATCTGTCCATGCGCGAGAGACCCAAAGAATCTAGTCAAGGGCCTGGATCCCACGGCAGTGTCCCCATGAGTAAGGCCAAAGGCCTAGAGCCCACGGCAGTGTTCCCTGGGAGTCCAGCTGGAGGCCTAGAGCCCTGGCATTGGCTCATACAAGTTTAATCAGGAAGCCTAGGAATCCATGACAGAAGATAGAGTCTATACTGGAAAGCCCAGGGGCCAGTGCTACGGCCTGGGGAATCTGCGCCAACAGCCTTAGGGGTCTGTATGGGATGCTGAGAGATGTGCACTGGAGCCAGGAACCTACGCCCAAGACAAGGGCAGAGGACCAGAGCTCCCCAAAGAGAGCAGCAACTATCACCCGTGACAGTGAGAGTTTTTGTCCAGAAAGTCAGCGCAACAGAGCTTCTGCTGGGAAATCAGCAGCATGCAATCTTCCCCTCCTGATCTCATTCTATGCCGTTCTGGCAGCAATCCTCAGGGGGCTCTTCCATGCCCAGAACCACACTCAGTTCAGCTGGCTGCCCTACGCAAGTTGCCCATTAATTAATCCACCACAGTTAATGAATATCTTAGAAGCATTTATTGTTGATTCATAGTTTTATGTAAATATAACCTAAGTGTGCTCATCAAAGAGAAAAAAGAACCCTCTGTCTCATAGTCTATTGAAATAGTGAAGAAGAAAGGTCTAATACAATTATTATATTATGTATTAGGGAAAATTTTAAGGCAGAAGCTCTAAAATTCTTTTTAAATGATAAAAACTTTAAAATTGCAGCTCATAAATAAATATTAGGAGGCACAATTCTACCTACATGATTATTTTAATAGCCTAGAGAATGTTGTTATGGGCCATATACCAACATTTTGGTTAAGGTCAAATATATGATGGTGAACCATCTTAGTTGGTTGTATAAGTACACCTTGTGGTGTTCACACAACATACCAAACAAGGCAAGTGCAGAACATGTTCCTATCTTTAAGCAGTGCATGACTATATGCTCTTGACTATGCTATTTTTTGTTTAATGAAAATAAAACAAAATTTCATAACAAAATGATAAGAGAATGACAATACTAAATGTAATGGTTTCACTGATCTTTAAGTAGGGCTTAAATAACGTATTTACTCAATGAATTTGTGTTCTACCATGTGCCAGTCCTGTTCAGATACAAATGATGCATAGGTGAATAATGAAATCAGAAGCTTGGCTCATCATTTATATTCTAGTGAAAGAGATGAGTAGTAACAAAAATAAGATGGAAAATAATGCCAGATGGTGGGAGGAACCACTATTTTTATTTTCATAAACAAAAATGTGGAACATAATGGGAGCCTCCTTTTTTTAGACAGGGTGGCCAGGGAAGGACTGTTTAACCAGAGATCTTGATAAATTGAGTCAGTGAACTTCAGCAGGCTTTGAGGGAGGAAATATTTTAGAAGAGGAAAAACCATGTGTAGGTGGGTGTATATTTGGCTGAGTTGAGAAGAAATACTGACAAGTCAGTATGGTATTTGAGATGAAGAGGGACAGGGAGGTAACTGGGGTCTTATTGGTTATGGCAGGGAGTTTACATTTTATAAGAACTGTGATAGGAAGAAAACTGCTGGAAAGATTGAACAGGGGAGTGACATGATTTAAAAGTTTTCCTTGAGTAGGGTGCAAAACATTGACCACAGGGGGTCAGAAATGGAAAGTAGGAGAATGGTTGGGAGGTTAGTGCAGTAACCAGAAGCAGAAGATGGTGCCTTGGGGTAGTAGTCATAGTGCTTAAGTGGTTGGATTTGAGACAGGGATTTCTTTTTTATTTCTTTCTATTTCTTTTTTATTTTTTAAAGAGAATAAAAAATAATAAAATACATTAGAAATGATAAGAATTTCACTAAACAAAATGATAGGAATTCAACAGTGGTTGTTATATTGCATATTGTTGTCTTCAAATTAGTTACTCATATTACCAGATAGGAGCATGTAAAATTGGTAAAAAAAATGAAAAAGAAAAAAATTAAACATTAACTATTCCTTTCAATAAACCGATAGAAATCAGCAGTACAATTATCCCAGCTATTCTTGTATATTTTTTTTTCCCTTCCTTCTTTCTTTTCTCCTTTCGATCATCCCAGTTGTCCCTTCCTTTTGAGCAGTTTGTTTCCCTTTCACAATATCTATTGTAACTTTGGGATTTCATTTACTCAAGACAAGGATTTCTGATGGATCAGTTGGTTGTAGGATGTGGTGGGAAGAGAGGAGATGGAGAGGACTGAAGAGGCGCAAGTTTGAGACAACAGTATTAAATTCAGAAAGTCAACTAGACATCCACATAGAGGTGAACTAGACAGATAAATTTGAAGACTATCAATGTAGATGGTTCAGGCTAGGGGAAGAATTGAGATTACCTAGGGCGGTAGCGGTGAACCTATGGCACTCAGCCAAGTTACCCCAGCCAAGGTTTGATAAATAATCAGCATGCATACACATAATTGTGCAAAAGCATGTCAAATAAAAACTTTTACCTTTCAATACAGAGCTGTTTGTATCATTGAAAGCTCTGTTACTGTGTTTTTCTTTTAAGACAAAAGATGTTAATGTATGAGTTGTTTTTTCAGAACTAAAACCTCAGTATTTGGGTTTAATTATAGTGTTGGCACTTTACCATGGATAAGTGGGTTTGGGTCTCTAAAAAGCTTGCCACCACTGACCTGGGGGGTGGTGCTAGAGAAGCCAGAACAGGGACAGTTGAACATTTGAAGCAAAATGAGCTGCAGCAGTAGAGAAGTAGCCAGTGAGAAAAGACAGAGAAGGGAGCGGGAGGGAGACTCGAAGCTGAGTAAAGAGACAAGGCCTCTCCTGGGCCTTGTCTCTATTCTTAGAAACAATTTAAGTATTTACGTTTACAAAACCTAACATTCTCAGTGAGCAATGGAAACCATCAATAACGTTATTTCCCCCCAAGTTGAGCACTTCCCTGGGTACTTTTGTATATACCTTTCTTTTTGGTTATAGCTCTCTACTGGTACATTCTTTGATCCAGGCTGCCTTGCCGCAAGAGTGCTAGACAGGGAAATTTCTTTTTTTTTTCTCTGTAAGACCGTTTAAAATGAGGGGAGAGCAAGCACTTATCAATTATTGACACATACTTTTTAGTTATGCCTGTAGTACTTCCATCAGCACATCTCATTATAGATTGTTTTATATATTTTAAATACATGTATTTCACAGTGATCAAAACTAGGGGTTTTAGACATGGTGAGTTTTTGTAGCTGAGATGTAGAAGTCAAGGAAAAGACAGACCTTGGTTACATTACACTGCCTGTTTAGTACTCAGTAGATGGCTCAGTTGAGCTGTCTTTACAAAATTAAATTTAATGGGTATATATTTGAACCTTGTGTTCCATGCAGATAAGCTTTGTTGTCAAGGATGGGAAAACAGCAGCTGCTCATATGTCATCACCTGTGGGTGATGGCTCTGCCACTACATTAGAGGAAAGCCAGGCCCCTTCCATTGCCAAGAGTAAATATTGTGCTAAAATACAATTTAATATTGAGCGTGGTGGCACATGCCTGTAATACCAGCACTCAGGAGGCTGAGGCTGGATGACCACTGCAAGTTTGTGGCCAGCCTGAACTACATAGTGAGACCTTGTCTCAAAAAACAACAACAACAACAACAACAACAACAAACAAAGCCAGTTTCATATAGTCCATATATAGTTTAGTACACTTTAGTCAGTGTTACATTTTTAATTTTATAATTATAAAAGCTAATCTGTTTTTTCCCCCAGTACTGGGGACTGAACCCTAGGGTGCTCTATCTTGGGGCTGTATTCTCAGCCTTTTTTATATTTTGAGGACCTAAACTTGTGATTTTCTTGCCTCAGCCCTCTCAGTGGCAGGACTGCAGGTGTGCACTGCTGTGCCCAGCCACTTTCTCTGCTTTCTTAGGAGTGAACTTAATATCTGCTGCATATCAAAATGTAATTTCCTAACATAATTTTTTTTCTCTAAGATTTCTTGATTTTCTTTTTTGTATGTGTATCTTTAAGGTTTATGAGAAATAAAAATATTTTATATATTCTGAATTTATGACTCTTTTACATTACACTGCAGTGTTCATTTTTAAATGGAAGTTACATGCCAGGTGTGGTGGCCCATGACTGTAATACTGGCACTTGGGAAGCTGAGGCAGGAGGATCACTGTGAGTTCATGGCCAGCCTGGTCTACACAGTGAGTTCAAGGTCAGCCTGTGAACTACATGTAACGACCCTGTCTCAAAAAAATAAACAGAAATCAAAAGAACAAAGAAAAGGGAAAAGGAGCTTACCGGAAAGTGAAAAGGAAATTTTGGGAGACTGTGGACGCTCAGGAGTGCACTTGCTACCGTAATTTCTGAAGCTTGCTGTGGTACATCATTTCATTCTGGAACTGGCTGCTGCCATGCTCTTTGCAAAGTCTAAGTCTTGCAAAATCCACACTATACTCTTTCTTAAACCCTCAGGCCATAGCCTCAGGTGCTTGGCTCTTCTGAGGTGGCCCCTTTTTAAAACCTTGTAGCAGCATGCAAGCTACAGCAATACTGGAGCACTAAGAGTGACACCTACGGCTTTTTGATGGCTTTAAGTCTCTCAGAAGTGACATTTACTTGAGGTGAATTTCCTGTGATGTCAGATATACAAGGGCTTAAGGAATGTGTCACAATACTCGGATGATGTCCTCTGTTTAAGATTTTGTTGGTTTTACTGAATATATCATTGATGATGTATTGTTCTCAACAGGAAACTGAGTTCATCTGAGTCAGATGCTGCAACCTTATTAATATTCCATGTGGGTTGTCGTTCAAGGACATACTGGCAAACATAAATGAAAGCAATTTTGAGATAGAATGAACAGTGTTCTTTGTTTTAGATGTATCTTAATTGGTGGCCTTGTAAATTGGTACAGTGGTTACAGAAAACAACACAGGAATTCATATCAGGAGCTATAAAATTCTTGTAGCCTTAATATAGCAATTTTGGAACTAGATGTCCTATTATTATTCTTTCAGCCTGAACTGGAAAGATGTAGAGAAAATTTAAGAGGCCATCTGTCACTTTTTCTCCTTATTTTCTTTTTATTTGTTAATTTTCACCAGTACATTATTTGTGTGTATATAATTTGTTTCCTTAAATAGTATGCAGTTTTTCAAGGACTTGGTTTCTGTCTCCTACATTCTTTTATTTAATCAGAGATTTAAATATAGAAAATTATATCTAGAATGTATTTAGTAATCATCATATGTCAGGCACCGAATTCTGTATGCTTCTTTTAAATATAAATCGTTTAATGCTAAAATACTGTGAGATAGAAAATATGACACCATATATAATAAGAAAACTGAAGCCCAGAGAAATTAACTATTCCAGATTAAAAACTACTACAAGGTAGAAGTAGGGTTTTACTGTAGACCTGCTGCTCCCTGAATCTAGAAATATTCTTTTGTGTATTGTGTGAAAAACATGTCCTATGAAATAATTTTGTACTTTATGTATTTACTTTATATTATCGCTATAGCCAGTGAAGGTTAAGACCATATACAGAATTTTATAGAATAAGTTAAGAAAGTTTCTCTGAGTATAGCTAACATTTATTAGAACTCCTGTTTTATTTTGATAAAAATAAAATCTAAGTAAAAAGCTTTTAAAAATGAGACACATTGTTTTGTTCATTCCATAAATGGTCATATAAAGAAAGCACACTTGCCCAGCTCCGTTACTCTCTTTTGATAAAATTTTAGGTGAGTGTAAATAACCATACCTAGGAAAAAAAATGACATATGGCATTACTTGTAAACCAGAGGCACTTAGTAATTTGTAAGCATTTAGAAATACCTTACTTCTCCTGGCATTTGAAATTGGAATCTCTTCAGAGTGCACTGGTTCCCCATGGTGGAGTTCTAGGCAGGGCTGGATGTGAAGATGCCCTCAGAGAGAGGCGCTTGCTAAAATCTTCAGCTTACCTCTCTTCAGGTCACAAAGGTCCCTTGTGTTTTTGTCACTGATCATGCAACTGTAAAAAAAAGTATACAGTAACAGATATAAATAGTAAATGTTTGTGTGTTTGTCTATTTATGACATTGACCTACTGCTCATAGCACTGTTTCCTCTTAAGTACCTTAGGGATGCTTTAGAGGCCATTTGGTCTGATAGTAGGAAAAAAGAGTCTTTGTTTACAAAGACTCATCATTAATCAAAAACTACTCCACTGAATATGGATTAATTGATAAAATGGGTAAAAGCAAATTTTCCATATTAGTAAAACTGAAGTATTTAAATTTCAGATGACCACAGAGATGTGCAGTTTGAGTAACTTGATTTGAATAGCCATTTGATTTTGTCCATCTTCTTCAGTGGGAAAGGTAAAAATGGTCAGAAATGTTAAAATAATAGCTCCTAGTTTTCTGTGCTGGGTTTTTTCACTTTCTCCTCACTTAATTCTTGGTGCCCTCCAAGATAGATTTTATTAGTGAGTATTGCTTATTTGTAAGCATGTAAAGGGCAGGGATCTGTTCTGTACTTGCAATCTCATTAGGTTTTTTTCCTTTTTTTTTTTTTTTTTTTTGGTTTTTCTCCGGTACCGAGAACCGAACTCAGGACCTTGCGCTTACCAGGCAGGCGCTTTTGCCGCTGAGCTAAATCCCCAGCCCCCTCATTAGGTTTTTGTTGTGTGCCCCTTTGTCTTGTTATCTTTTCTCAGTATAGAGTTGCAATTATGATTATTGGGTGCAACCCTTTTTCTCTGCCACTAGACTTTAATACGAGCACTGAGAACCAAAACTATGCCTGCTTTGTTCATCTAAGTGTCTTGAGCAGTTGCTGAAACAAAAAAGTTCTTAGTAAATATTTGCTGAGTGACTAAGGGATTTATTTTCTTTGCCTTTCCATATACGTAGTATAGCATTTGATACTGTATATACTTAGTGTTCAGTATAGGTTTGCTAAGACAAATTGAAAAAAAATGTGATTCCTGTGTCTATATATTCCCTTTACAGTAATTGTGAATTTTATAAGTGAGCAAAGATTATATGCAACCTTAGATGTGTCTTTTTTTCTACTGTTCTTCAATTGACACTAATAATATCTATGATTTTTTGAGAACATTATTTTTTAGAACATTATTATGTGCCAGGTATCATGCTAACCTCTCAGTGTGCTTAATCTTATCTAACTTCAGAACAATTTAGTTTATTTGAATATACCCATTTTACAGAGGATGTGATTGAGACTCAGAAAGGTCAAATAATTTATCCAAAACCATTAAGTGAGTACAGAGGGAAGTTAGTATTTAACCCAGACTGTATATTTTTATATCCTATCTTTTATCCTTCATACAATCCAAAGTGATACACAAACCAGCAAACTCCAGGGTAACTCATGGAAGGTAAGTTGTATGTCATTGACTGCAAAGTGTTGGGTAAGTAAATAAAAAAAAACAATAGGTGTGATCCAGTAATTGCAGTGATTTTGATAATATGGTTATGAAAGTAGCCTGAGGATGCTTTTTCTTGGAACTTAGGTTATGGGCTTGGTTTACTCTGAATTTTTATTAACTTTTTTTTTTAATACTTCTTTTAGGTTTGAGCGGCCGTTTCTTTGTCACCACCCTCCCAGCCTTTTTTCAGTAAGTTTAAATAATTTTTTGGTCTTGTAAAGATTAAAAATCAGTATATATATATATATATATATATATATGTCCCAGGAATTCTGAAATGTTTTCTGTGACACTCATTTAGCACAGTAGGAGGAGAGAAAAACTGCGCCACTCTGAATGGTACTGGCAAAAGAGGAAATGCCTGGAGTGCTATGGAGAAAGAGGACCTTCATTTCAGGCAGGGAAAATGGGGAGGAGGACCCAGAGACTTTTCTCATGATTTAAAAGGTGGGGAATTATTAATAGGTAAATAGAGATGGATTAAGCTGACAAGGCAGAGACCTTCCTAGATAAAGGAAGTGGCACATTCAAGCACAGGAGAAAAGGACACCTGAGAATTGTAACTTTCTTTATGGCTGGCCTGTAGTGTGTGGTTGGATCGTGCTGGGTGATAAGGCTGCCTGAGTGATAAGGCTAGTGAGGCCCAGATAGTGTTAGTGGGAAGAAAAAGGAAGGGGTGGATTTCCAAAATACTTAGGAGGTAGGATTATTGGGGTTTGGTGACTGATTACCCATGAGAAGGAAGAGTTTTATGATGATTATGAACAAGCCATGTTAGTAATTGCTGTTGTTGGCCTACACGATAAGGAAGCCTTAGGATAAGATGAGGTTTGGGAGGTAAAGCCAGAATGGAGAAGAAGCGTGAAGTGCCTATGTCAATTCCAGATAGAGAAATTTAGGTTACAGTTTGATGTCATAATCTGAAACTCAGAAGAGATATCTAGCCTGGAGATGGATATAGGGAATTTCTCAGCATTAAGGTACAGAGCATTTGAAATATTCCTGTATTTACAGAGAGCACATACAGTGGAGGAGAAACAGGTAAAGGATAGAACCTGGAATTGACCACATTAGAACGTCTATCTTCAGTGAGTGAAGGAACTGGGAAAGGATTGTCAGAGTAGTAGGAAGAAGTACAGAAGACTCAGGACTTAAAAGTCAAACTAATGACTTTTAGTCTCTCAGTGGTGGAGCACTTGCCTAACATGTTCAAGGCCCTGGGGTCTGTCCCCTACATCTGGGAGGAAGGGTCAGGCTAAAAGAAAAAGGCGGCAATGTTCAGTAGTGGACACTGGCCATGAACAGGTGAATGGAAAACACCCCCTAAGTGCTCCATGGATATGGCACTTAGGAATCACTGGAGACCCTCACTCTGAGCAGGTTCACTGGTGTCCTGGGGGCAGAACCCCCAGGCTCACTGAGTAGTGAACAAATGCTGAAGAAGAGAAAGTGGGTGATGCAATCCTTTCCCCTGGGACGCTTTACTGTGGAGATGAGGACAGGGCGGGAGGGGTAAGGGGGATGTGAGATGGAGCAGAATTGGTGTTGATTTTGAGCTGAGGGACTTGAACAATATCAATTTGGAAATGTGGATACAATTTTTAACTTGAAAACAATGGCTATTTTATTATGATACAAAAGTAAAAGTAATTGGTAGCAAATAATAAAAAACAACTTGATAGATTAAGGATCATCGTGAACTTATGTTTACAAATTCTGTAATGATAAAGTGGAATGTTTAATACTTTTCAGCTTTCAAATTTCTTATTTGTAACTAAAATTTCTGCATGCCTTCTGATTTATGCTGAACTATAATTTTCTTCATTTTATCCAATTGAAAATTTTCGTGCCATTCACATATGTGGCCAATAGTTACTTTACTATTTGTCATCTGCAACACCTGTTATTTCAGCTCATTTATTTTCTGCTTTTTGTTTTAATCTGTAGTGCAAAAGATGGAATATTCCGCCGCTACCGAGGCCCAGGAATCTTTGAAGATCTACAGAATTACATCTTAGAGAAGAAATGGCAATCAGTTGAGCCTCTGACTGGTTGGAAGTCCCCAGCTTCTCTAACGTAACTCATTAATTTTTTGACAATACAGTACTATAAATAAAACAGTGGTATCAAGTTAGTCTGTAGAACTTAAGAATCTGCATTTTCTTCTATAATCACTGCTGGTTACCGAACTGGCCCATGTCCATGCTTGGCCTGAGTAGTATTTCTGGTTTTGTGGACTCATGTATGTTTCAGGTAGTTTTTAATCAGCTGAGAGTTAAGTTGCCGGATTTGTGTGGGTAACAAAAAGCTTTTCTTTCAGCGTTTGCTCAAAGTTATAACAAGTTTACAAAACTTGGTATTGAACATCAGTTGCTATTTTCCTTGTGAATGGCTCTTTCTTGAATTATAATCTGTGAGGGAATTGCTATTGTATCTTACATGGAAAATAAAACCTATGATGTTTTTGGCCACCTTGCACAGTATTGTTGGGGTTAGTTTTGGCTATGGTGATAAACTGTAATACCTGGTGTAGTAGATAAAGCTGAACCATAACTTTTTTCTCAGTTGGTTTTAATTTTGAATGGTCATATTTGTAATGAATTTTATTTTAGCCTATTTAGGTGTAAGAACTATCCCTACTAGCATAGGAGCAGCTGGTATGTTTCAGGAATAAATAATCTAATGGCATGTATATTAATACTCAGGAAGCATAGAGTTTACTCTAAAAGCAGCTCACTTCTAGCATTTCATTCCTTAAATAGGTGCACACTGGGGGCTGGGGATTTAGCTCAGCGGCAAAAGCATCTGCCTGGCAAGCACAAGGTCATGAGTTCGGTTCCTGGTACCGGAGAAAAACCAAAAAAAAAAAACAAAACAAAACAAAACAAAAAAAATAGGTGCACACTGATTTTACATCAGATATTTTAGGTGCTAGGCATTTATCAGTGAACAAGACAGTCATGGCCCTTCAACTCCCCTCAGATAAATTTGAGTAAATAAATAATTTGAGTAGCACAGATTAAGAAAAAGTCAAGGACACAAAGAATAATAATCTAGATGGCGCAGTTAAAGATCAATGTACTTTACTAAAAAAGGGAGAAACTGGAGTCTGAGGCCCACCTTAGGTAGGGTTGTAAGGAGAAGTTGCTCTGAGGGGAAGATCAGAAGTGAGACCTGAAGGATAGAAAGAACTGGCCTGGGTAAGGAGTAGGGAGAGAGATGTTTTCCGGAAGAATACGGCATACACGTAAGCCTTAGCTTGGGAAAGAAACAGGTGTGCCTGTGGAGGCCAGTGCCAAGCACAGGGAGTCCAGCGACAGGGAGGAGCAGTGGCACGAATTGCGTGAGAGCCAGATAATATGGACTGTGGCCACAGTGAGGGACTTGACAGTTACCAGCACATGCAGTGAGAAGCTGACTCTTGAGAGAAGCGAGTCAAGAGGGGGAGAATGAATGAGGAGGGAGAGAGGCTTGTGTGGTGTCCCGCTTCCCCATGCTAGAGGAGGGTGGCAGCAGCAGAGGTGGAGAATGAGTGCATTTAAAATACGTTTTACACACCTGCCCGGGATGAAGAGCAGGAGGATGCTCAAGTAAAAACTCTGGGTTTTCATGTTTGAGTACTTGGTGCATCTGCTACTGATTTGGGCAAGAGCAAGTCAGGGATTCTGTTTGGATTTGAGAAGTTTGAGATGCAGACTTTGTAAAGCTATGGAACATGAAGAGTGTGGGTCTTCATGGAGAATTCAGGAGCATTAGGTGGTGCTCAGAGCCTTAGGAGGGAAGGAGGGGAACGCAGAGAAAAAGAGGCATGCTTGGGATTGATCCATGAGCCGCTCCCAGATGACGAAGTTGGGTAGAGAATGAGTCAGCACAAGGAAACCAAAAACAATTACTAATGAGACAGGCAGAAAAGAAGAATGCACCATTTCCTAGAAGCCAGATAAAGGGTGCTCAAGAAAGAAAAAGTAACTACCTGTACCCAGTGTTAACCTGGAGGGGAAAGACCAGGTCTGGACCTGGACATAGGATAAAGCAAGGTGAGGTCATCCTGGCCTTGACTAGCAGTCATAGTGCAGCGGTGAGGGTTGAAGTCAAGTTTGAATGGGTTAAAGATGTGATGCAGAAGAAGAAATGGCAAGTTAGGACCCCTCTTGGGAGAAGTTTGTGCATTGCTCTTTTTAAAAGGTGGAAACCAGCAGAGCATGTTTGCCTGCTGAGGAGACTTAATGCAGCAGAGACAGAGAAATTGCTAATGTAGAGGGAACAAATGACATAAAGAAGCAAGTCATTAACAGAGCAGGAGGATAGGATTCAAGTACGAGTGGAAGAATTGGACTATGGTAGGGCAGATGGACTTTCCTGCTGAAACGAGAAGGTGCATGCGAGTGTGCATGAGGCTTAGATTTGGTGGTGGGATGGCTTCTGATTTCACAGTGATACGTGAAGAGTGTTTGTTGGCTGAGAGTCCTTGGGAAGGAAGGGGTGTATAACATTTAAAGAGAGGGAAAAGGAAATGAACTATATCTCAGAGCCTAAATATGCAAGACTGGGCAATATTGAGCCTTCCCTTGTACTTGGGAGTCAGCTAGGTATGAGATCTTTCCCTAGAGATGTTCAGCTGCTTGGCATTGGGGTTTTGCCCAGTATGGAAAATGAAGGGATAAAGAGCCAACGAATGAGAATGTATTTTCAGCAAAGTGAGTCATGTGATGACCTCAGAATCTAAACTCTGTAAAAGCAGAGATGAGTCTAGGAGAGAACAGTAAACAGCGACAAATAGGAGGATCAGTGGAGGGGAAGTACCACCAACCCAAGTTTTGTTTTGCTTTGTTTTTCATAGCACATATAGCCAGTATTTCCCTTCTTTCTCTGTTTTTTTTAGGATGTCTGGAATGGCTGGCCTTTTTAGCATCTCTGGCAAGATTTGGGTAAGTAATCTTAAATAAAGTCATTATAATTCTATTTGCAGAGGGATCTTTAAGGACAGAAGTATAGCTTTTAGTTATTTATTTATTTATTATTTTTTAATTATTTAAATTTTTTTTTTGTACCAAGAATTGAACTTACAACCTTGCATTTGCCAGGCAGGTATTTGTGCTGCTGAGCTATATATCCCCAGCCCCCAGAAATGTAGCTTTTAAAGAAAAGGAAAATGCACATTTATAAATACTGTCATAATTCCACTTTGATCTTAGGATACACAACTACTCTCAGGCACGGTGAACCACTGGTAATGTGTCTGTGTACAGAAGGGCATAATTTGAGCAGTGCCCTATAGCAAGTATGTTGAAGTCATACTTTGTTACATCAGTACTGGAGTCCTTATCAAAGGAGAAGGGCTTATGTTCCAATGGTAACATAAGATCAAAGATCACCTAAGCCTAAAAGTAGTTCTGTATGTCAGCAGTCAATGAACTACAGCCTGTGGCTGGGCTTCCTATTTTTGTAAACAAAGCTTTATTTGAACACTTCTGTTGCCTATGACTACTTTTGTACTATAGTTGTGTTGAGTAAGTTGTTACAGAGGCACAGAGAGCTGTGACTTGCTAGTTTAGTTAGTTACTATCTAACCTTTAGGAGAAAGTTTGCTGACCCTTGCTATCTGTGACTAGTCATTTTAATATGCTGTTCAAATTAAATGGTGGAGCTATTATATAATCTTGAGTATGTTCTGTGACTTTTTGTTTCTCTTCTCTGTAGAGGGGGTTGAATCCAACAGATTTAGTAAAAGTGCCCTAGAATTAAATACAGCTGAAAACATTTTTAAATAACTCTTTAGACATGAAATCCTGTATATGTCTTTTCTAAGATATCATTATAGGTTATTGTGTCATATTTGGAAATTAAGATTCATGGAGCTCATGAAGAATCTGTTTCTTATGCACGTTGATATAAGGGAAAGTATAAGATCAATCTTTATGTTCCAGGTTCTTAGTTACATGTTCTATCTTGTGACATAGGTATTTTTTTATTTGTGTGTTTGTTTGTTTGTTTTACAACTGATACTAAGTAGAAACTTGGATTCAGTCTTTCATGGTTAAAATTTAACTGGTTTTATTTTTTTTAGCATTTGTTTGTCATATTAAATACTGTAGTAACTCTTATTCCCCTCTCCAGATAGTTTGCTTCATGTGGTTTCATTCTGTCCTTTTATTAGCACTAGTAAGTTGTTTAATCAAGGACTGACAATTAAGATCGAAACTGGGAGTTGAGTGTAGGAGAGTCTGTCTTTTGCAGTGTGTTGACATTAAATGCTAATGAAGTTATATAGTCTGATAACTGTCTGGGCCTTGAAGCACTCTGTTGTCTAATTCTGTATGACAGTTGAAATAGATGGATCTCAGCACTGGCAGCAAGCTCTTAGCCTAGAACCAATGGTAAAAGCAGATGGGAAGGAAAGTTTATCCTGTGGGTTCAGAAAAGCTTAGGTGGAAGTTATCATAGGCATCACAGGTGGTTAAAGGGAAGTTGTACTGTCAAAGACTCTACAGGGAAGAAATATAGCTGATCCATTCTGGAACCTAGTGCTTGACTTCTTATGCAGAGATCCAGTCCTGCTGTCTCATCAGGTCCCTGATTCTTGCTTCTACCTCAAGTATGGGCCTTGCTGCTCATACTCAACACGGCCCAGGTGACTGTCCCAGCTGCTGGGTGAGCTCATTTAACTGGCTCTTCTTTTCCCTCAGAAATCTCATATCAAGATTTAATACATAATTTTGTTGAGTGCAATTTGTTTTTAACTCATGTAAAACTGCAGTGCAACCATATTAGGTAATGAATAGAAGAAATATGGGCCATGGGGAGAGAGCCTGAGACAGTGAGAGACCATAGAGAAGGCTACAACCAGAGAGCGTAGTCTCAGAAAAAGAAGATAAAGCCATGCAAGTGGGAAGGAAGTAGCGTGGCTAGTGCCAGTGAGGTCAGGTTGTTGAAGCGTACTTATAATCTCTGTTATCCTGTTGGGATTTTGTGGGCACAGAGGACACAGAAATTCAACTTTCCTCAGCCATCAACTCTCCCACATGGGTAGCAGATTAGATATAAACAGTTCCTAAGAGAAAGATGCAGGTTATTAATGGGGAGGGGGTAACCAAACAATACAATCGTGTATATAGAAAAATAACTACAGAGAGATCAAGTAGGTATCAACAGTGTTTTTCCTTAATATTGGAATTAGGGCCAGTTTTTACAACCCATCATCCTTTTCTGTAGTTGCTAATGTTTCTGTTGTGAGAAAGAAACAATGAAAGGAACAGCGATATCTAGAAGATCAGAAGCTGCTGCTAGTGATTCCTTAAAGGCCTCAAGTTTCTGCCACAGGAGCGAAGCCAACTCACTCCTCTGGTCTTGGAGGTGTGTGTGGGTTTACCCCCATGGCTGAATTCCTGTGATTTCAGGGCTTTCATTTGGGTTGTATTTTGCCTTTATAACCTTATGCCAGCCTTCTATATTTTCCTGCTTGAATTAACTTTTGAGTGAGGACATCCTATGAAATAGCCTGATCAGACAGTTCCTGTGAACTTCCTGCAGTTACCATGGCTCCCAGGATTTGTTGATAGGTAATTTGTACCACTGTATGAGGAAGAGATAATCTTCAGTGTCCTTTCCATCAGCAAATTCAAATTGTCCTTCTAATCTGACCACGATGGCATTCACATGTGTGCTTTAATCTTTACAGAAACTCACAGAAATAATCGGCAGTCAGCTGCAGTTCTGTCCTCGTGGTTAGTCTTCACACTGTACCTCTTCCCTCACAAAAAGTCACTGAAGCCTAGGAACTGTGTGTCTTGGGTAGTGTCAAAGTACAAACTGATTGATTTTCTATTGTAGTAATACAAAATTTCTTTAAAAATTCTTAGAGATTAAAAACAGTGACTCAAAAAGTTATTACAAAACAGTGACTTACTGGAATGTTAATACTCTAAAGAACAGCACAGGGTAAAGTGAGTGTCATAGACATGATGTGGAGAAGGCTGGATTTCCGGATGCACCACCGCTCTGGTGCATAGAATCAGGTGTCCTGGAGGGCTGAGATTTTGTCCGTGGCTCATGTGTGCAGAGAGACTGCAGTCTTCCTGTCTTCTCATCTCTTCACGGTTAGCTACAGTGCTGCGGCGGGACCTGTCCTCCATTGCAGGAACACAAGCTGTTCCTCCCTACTCTGTGTGCATGGCTGGGAACCCATTTGTTTTCCTGTCACAGACAGTTGTTACCAAAACTGTGCGTGCTTGGTGTGGGACCTGGCACCTGCGATGTACTTGATAACTGCTTTTTGTTATAGTTATTAATCATTGTCTTCGCTGTCTTATGTTTCTCTTCTGACTATAGGTAACACCAAAAACTTGCTATTTTTTAACCAAGGCAAATAATAGGCTCAAGGTATAATTTGATGGCACTTGCATTTTGCTAACTAGATTTAGTACTTAAATATTTATAAAGCATTATTATATCAGCTTTGGTGACTGTCTACTGCTTGCCAAGGTAATATAGGATATAACTTACCTGTCCTATATGTTACTGTTGTTAGGAAAAGATGTGGGTGTAAGTGTGCTGCACCCTTGGGAGGACAGTCTGTGTGATGGATATGGTGTCCTCCTCATTAGAGTGATGTGTAATGGAAGAGTTAAGACTTTCTAAACACCAGATGATAAGTAAAAGCCATGAGTGTTTAGCCTGGAGAATAACACTGTATTTTGAAACTTGAAAATATTTACCAGTAGTTTAGATAACAACATCACTTCTTTTACTGTTTTCCCCCTTATAAAAATGTCTAGGCTGTTTTGTCAAATGTCACAGTGGGGCGGTGCCCATCCACGAGGTAGCTCTCTGAGCCTACAAGCAGCTGTAGGGATGGGTCTTACAGGAGGTGTGGAGGGAGAAGTGCTTCCCGGCTCACCACAGAGGAGTCCTTCCTGGCTGCTCCCAGGCAGGGTGGTATTTGGGGGGATTCTGATTTGTGTATGAAAAGGACCAAGGGCTTGTACTCAGGATACATATCCTATGAAACAGGCAAGCTGTAAATTCAAAGGCTTTCTGCCCTTCAGGGCCAAAGCAACTTTGAATCAGACAGACCATACAACACTGGGGTGCATTCCTGGGTGTGCCAGGATGCCTTCAGTCCACCCTGTAATACTTTAGCCAGAGTGAGTGCTGGCTGTTCTGGGCAAAAGAAGTTTTCCCTCTGGCCGTGGAGGCCTTGGCCTACTCTGTTTCTTATCCACCCAGCCACTGGAACATTCCATTTATTCTGTTAACATGATGTTTTCATTTAGACTTCTCACTTGAGTGTGTGTAGCGAAAAATTAGCTTAGACTTAGTCATCTGCTAAAATATATGGTACAGGGGGTGTCATGTGTCATGCCAATCAGGTGGCATTTTAGTGCGTTTTCAGTAAACAAAGTAGAGCACTTCCTTGTAATGAGCATATGTAATATTGAACAAGAATCAATATTTTGCACAAGTGAAAACTGAAACTGAACAAATTGAACGGAGACATAAATCTAAAACTGACTTAGACCAGATCAATCAGTTATCACCTTGGAAACAGTTATATATGTACAGCAGAATTTTAAGTACATAACACCATGAATCCTGATATTTGTAAGGGTTCTAAGCCATTGTGAGCACAAAGTAAATAAATAAAAGATTTATGTCTGTGGTTTAGAAACCTGTGTTTAATAATAATTACCTAATAGACCACCAGATGGCAGAATTTCATAAGAAGCGCAAATCCTTTCAGGAGTTATTTGATACAAGAAACTAAAGTAGAGCTTATTAAAGTAAGATGTTTTGAAAATACTAAGAAGTGTTGAACTCAAAATACAATAATTAAAAGGCAAATAATTTACTGATACTTAAAAACCCAATTAAGAAAGTTTCCTGAGGAGTTTTTTCATTATTTTTCGGTAAAGGAGTAAAACAGTATCCCAAGACACTCAGAACTGCACAGTATTTATCCCAAACCTTCACTTTATTCATTCCAGCCACATGAGTGAAATAAATCAGTAGGTATTCAGAGAGCAAGTACCAGAATGTGCGCCTGAGTCAGCAGGGAGAGCAGTGCCACTAAACACCTTCTGATTCTTCAGCATTTTTCAGGTTTTACCCTGAGGGTGGCACTGAGTCATCAAGAAAAGTGTAAGTGTTCAATACACAATATTTTCCAAAGTTGAGAACTGTGCAGTTCCTCTTAGAACTTGGAGTGAAAAGAACTTCAAGCTATTCCTTGATATCTCAGATACCTCTTTTGCCTGATGGATTACAGAATGTGGGGCTGCTCTTAATAAACACTTGTCTTGGCTGGACACAAGCTGTTGACCAGTGCCATCAGCAGAGGAGAGATAATGGCTTTACAAATCGAGAGCTTATTTGTATTTCCTGTGAATGGTTCAGGCATTTGATAGACCTTTTCCTTACTCAACAAATGTTGATTGAATACTTTTACTACATGTGTTATTATTTAGAATACTTGCCGTGTCTTTAAATCTATCAGATTATTTTAGATCACTTATTAAACTTTTTGTTTGCTTATCTGTCATTTAGAATTAAGACAGAGTAAAATGTTTTATTGTTTGACATAAGGTAAGAAACCAGTGGAAGTGATTGAGATTTTGAGGAATACGAAACTAAAATAGAAAGTTGGACTCACTGTCAAAAATTCATCTGTGCTTGCAGGTGATACATACACTTAGAGCTATTTAATCCTGTGTCTAGTAATTGTTTAAATTATAGTTAATGACAGTTTTACAAGCTTTATAGGTCAGGACAGATGACTAAATCATCACGGGGAAGCATCTCCCCAGCAAGTGCACATTTAAATGAACTTTGACATTAATGAGCAGGTTCATCTCTATAATTTGTACATAATTTAGCATGTAAACCATTCCTAGTTAAGATTATGTCTCTTCATTCATTTTTAAGTTTATCATCAAGTAGAGCCCCAGAGAACAGTAAGCATGAAAGGATGGACACTGTGCTTGGAGACAAATGAACTTCCACTTGTTCATAATGAATTAACCTGGCTGGAGATAAAGCTCAGAGGCCCAAGTGCCTGCCTGGCAAGCGCAGGGTCCTCAATTAGATTCCTGGTACCAAAAAAACAAAACAACATAATGAATTAACCAGGAAAACCTGTCTACATTTGGTGTTTGGGGTGGGTAGGAGTAGAGGAGTAAGAACTTGCCTACAAAAAATATCGACACATTTGAAATGGTTGGTATTCATTAAGTCTTCATTTGGGCTTATCAAAAGATGATAAAGGCCCATGCATTTCATTTTAATGCACGCCATATTATGATTAAATATTGAAGTGTATATACTTAATAGTTGGGCACTAAAATGGAAGAAAGAACTAGCAAAACAGTTTCACCAGACTCCTATCTCAATCCTAAACTCTAAGGAAGTGTAACTCATATTAGATATAACCTGGAATATTACTCATTATTTCCCGGTGCTGTAAAATTTGTATTATTTGTTAAGAATCGTTCAGGCACTTAAACCTCTGTGGGAACTTATGTAGAAAAGATAGCTGGAAGACTGGAGTTCTAGCTAATGAAAGGGATTCAAGTATCTTTGGTCCTCATTACAACTAAGATTTTATTCTTTCCCTTTTCATTACAGCATCTTCACAACTACTTCACAGTGACCCTCGGAATTCCTGCTTGGTGTTCTTATGTATTTTTCATCATTGCCACTTTGGTTTTTGGCCTTTTAATGGGTCTGGTAAGAAATAATCCTGCTCTTTTCTCTTATTTATAATGCTCTTCTTTTTTAAAGCAAAGTGGTTTTCACATTAAGTTAAAATGTAGCCAAGAAAGAAAAAAACTCTTAAACATTCTTTGTGTATAATCTAAGCATTTATATAGTGTGTGCTTGTTTGATACTGCTTGGGAAATGGTAATGTGAAATAAAATGGAAAATTGATTTATTATTCTCTAATCCTGTTTCTTAAATATATTCAGAGTTGTGTGCTGCCTGGAATATAGACAGTGGTGTAAGAAGAAATAGAGAGCTTTCTTGAATTGATAGTTTCCAAGACAGCCCAGTCAGCTGTGAGTTTGTTCCCTGCCTACCTGATTAGAACATGGTGGTGATAAGGCCAGAGCTGTGACTTTGTTCCTTGGGTAGATGAAAGATTTTTTTTTCTTGTTTCTGTCTATCAGTTGAACCTCTAATCCTGACCAGCTAACTGGTTTTCTTGAGGTAGATTTTGTAAGATAATGTAAATAAGACAGCCATGGCTGTGGAAAAATATGGTTTGAAGCAAAACACCATATCTTTTTTGAGCATGAAAATCAGTATCTAGTAGGTATCTGTGCATTTTATCCCTAGATGTTTCAGATAAGAATTTGTATAATAAATTTATTTACTTAACTATATATGCAGCTTAGAGACAATGGTTTAGTAGCTAGTAGCTCAGGGATGGATGAGAAACTTAGCTGTCTGTATTAATTAGGTCCTTTCTATTGAACACCTATAGTCCTAGAACTCTGGTAGGATGAGGTAGGAGGATTTTGAGTTTAAGCCCAGCCTGGGCAACTTAGTTGGATCCTATCTTAATTTTAAAAAATGAGTTGGGGATACAGATTGAATCCCAGTACTGGGGAAAAAATTTTTGGTACGTTTTATTTTTTGATAGAATTTTGTATCTCTCTCTTAACATACACTTAATAAATTTGATTGTATATTAAACTCTAATTAAGAGTTGTTTAAAAAGTCGTTATATTATATAGTAATTAATTATATAACTCCTAAATAGTCTGTACTGGGAATAATTAGTGATTATAAAAATTCATGTAAAAGAATAAACTTTTATGTAACGGTATTTATATCGTGTAATGAAATTTAGTTTCCTGGCAAGATCTTTGTTAAAAGAAGCTTAAAATGTTAGCAGTTCACTTCATAAGAACTTGTAACTTGGTATGACAAAGAACTCCAAGGAGCCAAGGAGGTTTGATTTTCTTTTGCTGTGAAGATGCTTTATTCTTGTCATGGCTTGTCTTTGAGATACGGCTGCTGATGTTAATTTCAGGGATGGAGATGAAGCTTAGCTGTCTATATTAATTAGGTTTCAGGTATGTCCTGTCCTATTGTACTAATCATATTGCTAATTAACATGTTCCCACTGTCCTAATTTAAAGGGATTTGATTTAACTTTGGATATAAATAGAGAGCAGTCATCAGTATTTCTCCCCTCCACTGTTTAGTGCCAGCTTTTTCTAGCAATGTGTTCTGTGGCCACATGAATGTGAAGATTTTGCAGAGGGAACTTACTAGGTTCTTATATGAACCAAGCTCCAAGTTCATCCCTGCCCAGGGCTTAAATAAGGATGAAAAACAAAAAGATACAATTAATTTAAAAAGAGAGGCCAGCAGTCTCTGGCCTCTAGTGAACAAAGAGTCCTGAGCATTTGTCTCACCTTACTTTTATTCACTTCGGCATGGGAGCAAACAATTAGAGTGGCACAAGATTCATCTGCTCCCTATTATCTATAGTATTTGACCAGATAAATAACCAGATCTCAGCTGTGTTGACTCTTCCCTGGAACTCGCAGCATGCTAGCACGCCCCCTCATCTGCCAAAGGGGAGCAGCTTGCCATTTCCTCCTTTGCATCTGCAGGAAAGGTCAGTTAGGCCTCAATCCTCTTTACCTGGTCTCCTTCAGGTCCTTGGTGAGTCAGAGATAGAGACATGTTATATAGGGTGAAAGGGAATGTGTTCAAAATCTGGGGAAAGCTCCTCTCAGCCTAAAAGTTACAGAACTTAATTTTTCAAGCTGACTTTAAGAAATTGAGTCAGGCCTACCTATGCACCCAGTTCATTTGGAATGTGAGATTAAAATATAGCAGTGCAGAATGCTTATTAGAAGCGTGGCTTAAAGAGAGAAGAAAGTTGATTCTAGACTGTTGAAGTGATTGAGTGGGATGCAGTATTATTCTCTTATAAGAAATTGAGAAAATAACGTTGTTTTACAAAATAATCTATTAATGTATTTCCAAAAAATAATGAATACTTATCTATATTCAAAATGCCTTTTTTGGGCCAGGGATATAGCTCAGTGGCACAGGGCCTGCTTGACAAGCACAAGGTCCTGAGTTGAATTCCTGGTACCAAAAAAAAAAAAAAAAAAAAAAAAAAAAAACAAAGCCTTTTTCTACAAAGTATGTAGTTTTAACCTTAAGTAGTCTTTAACTTCTTAGGTACTTTTATTACGCTTACTTTTGTGAATTAGTTAATGTATTCTAGTTAGAAACAGTGCAGTAGTACCTTCTTTTAAACCATCTATTCCAGAATGGTATTATTATTAACTTGAATGATTTTAGAAGTGTTTGTTAATTGTTTTCACATCTTAGTTGCACAGAGAATGATGTTGGGGTAGTTCGCTAGAGTAAAGGACTTTGCTGGATAAAGCTGCTTGAGGCAGGCTCTGAATGGCCCAGAGACACAGCTGCCCCATGTCCTGCCTACACTCCCTGAGGGATGACACGTCTTTAGGGAAGCTAGGATCAAACAGTTTTTTTCTTTTATTATTATTTTTTTAGTAGTCTTATCAACTGAAGTCAAAAATTAACTGGGTAGTTCACTTAGAGTAAATGTGAAATGAAATTGCTGAGCATGGGATTTCCAGAAATGGAAGAGCAGGAGCTGGCCTAATGCTTACATGAAAGTGCCTTTGGGTTGCTGTTTTTCTCCCCTGGAGACCTTGCAGCCCACAGACATTTTATAATTGCTTGTGCTTCTGTGTCACAGAGTCAGAAGTAGATGTGAGACCTTGATATGTGGAGCTTGGTGGTCTGTTACACCTTTGCCATCGAAAGCGAGGCCCAGGCTCGCAAATATATGAAGCTTGGTCCCAGTGGCCTTTGGATTCTCCTTCCTCCTTTGAGTCTTCATGGAATTTAACTTACATAGGGACCAGGCGGGCAGGATGTTTCTTCTAAGACATATTCTTAATTAAATCATTGCTTTGCATAAGCTTGACTATTATGTCAGATTTTTTTTGCTGAATTTTGAAAAATGAGAATCTAGAAAAAGTCTGCTACTTTAATTTTTGTTTTCGTGACTGAGCCTGGTATTGTTAAAACATTTTACCAGATTTTCTTTGCATATAAGCAAAAGTGCTCAGTTTTAGAATCAAGTATATGTTTTGCATTTTCAGCCAACATAGAGGAGATCCTTAGTGATAGTCTAGAGATCACCCAGGCAGCAACACTTCCAGCTGTCAGTGACTGTGCCCTGGAGGCGGGAAGACAGCAGAGTTACAGATAAGTGAAGGCAGTGATCCAGTGGCTTAGGTCTAATGGCTTTTGAGCTCAAATGGCTCAGTCACACGAAAATGAAAGGCCAAGCTTGCTTTTGCCTCTTTATCTGGTCTCTGTTCTGTTGATATGTGTAGAGGCACTATCCAAATTTTGGTGTTTAAGTATATTCTTTTTCTAGATTGTACTGAACAGTGCCTGTCTCCTCTGGCTTTAGAGATATGGATGCCACTCTGTGAAACTCACCTGCTTTCCTTGTGCACCCGTGTGGGTAGAAACAGAACGGAATGTTATTGTTGATGAGAGGAAGACAGCATTCCCCCTATAAGCCCTAATTCTAAACAGTGCCATGTTGAGGTAGTTTAGTTTTCCATTCCAAGGGAGTGGTGCTTTAGACAAGAAAATAAATCTTGAATGAAAAGATGAGAGGGCTTCCCTCCTAGTTTCCAAGAAGGAAGACATATATAGGATAGTACGCTGTTATACATAAAAAGACTGCGGCCTTAGTGTGGTCCAGTCTCATCCTTTTGAGTGACACAGCAAGCAAGAAGGCGGTTGACTTGTGTGAGGTCATACCGCTAATGCAAGACAAGAGTGACTCGGTGTCCTGTGAACTATTTGGGGGGCCCTGGCCCCAGCCAACCTCTTGAGGCCTCATGTATATCACAGGTGCAGCTTATTCACTCCTAGGCTTTATGGGAAAATACTGTACTTCTTGTTGCTAGAAGGTGTTTCTTCTGCCCTTGTAATGTATCAAGACCAAAACTTGCCCTTCCCTGGTGAAATTAGGACAAGAAAAAAGAACAAATAAAAAAAAAATTTAAAAAATTATGCTAGAGAATACATGGCTATCACATTAGAAATGTTTTCTTTGCTGTTCAAATCCATTTAATGGTGTCTTACTTACTTTTCTCATTACTGAGAAAAATACCCAGCACCCACAAGTTAAAGGAGAAAAGGTGTTATTTTTGCTCGCTGTTTGTAGAGGATTCAGTCCATGGTCAGCTGGCTCCAATGCAGGCTGGCCTGGCAGAGGAGAAACAGTCCATCGCAAGGTAGGCAGGATTTAGCCCGCTTTCCCTTTTAGTTCACAAGCCTGTTGATTGGTGCAACCCACACCCAGGTTGGGTCTTTCCGTCATGTACACCCAGAACTATTGTAAACCAATCAGCGGACTAATCTAAATATCACACACCCTTAATCCAGTATAACACAGCCGTGATCTAGCCACCTTCCCAAAAATCCCACCTGTGAGCGCATGAGGCTTTGAGGGGACATCTAGATATAAGCCATAGCAAATAGCTTGGAGCTTGTTATTCCTGAACACACAGCACCTTCCTATCTCACCACCTCACCTGTGAGTCTCCTCAGCCTGGCCTTTGTGGCCTTGTCTAGATACCAGAATTTCAGTGATCCCACCTGGGGCAGCTTATTGTGGGCAGGTAGTGGGAGGGAGTATTGCACAGCTTCTCCTGACAGGTCCATGGCCTTCATGCCTTCTCTTTCAGGGGAATTCTTGATCTTTTGTTACCCCATAATGGGCTATAATCTCTTATTCTCTTAAGCATCAAAGTGCTTTATTCATTGTGTGAGACTCGTGTTCTGTGTTGCTTTATAATTAAACTGGCATTTTTTTCAACACTTCCTCAGATGTTAACATGGTAGCTTGAATCTACCAGATATTATTTAATGAACCAGATATTAATAAGTAAAGTAATAAGTGACTATGTACATAATAATAATCCTGAATACAAAGTAGGGTATTCATTTGATGTTTATAAAATTTAATCAAATGGATTATGATTTTGATTTAAAGTTTCAGAGTACCTGTAAAACATAGTATATTTAGTAGTATTCTTATCTTTACAGACAGGGCAATTATTCAAAGAGAAGTTTATAGTCCAAGTATTAGCTAGGCACCAGAAATTTTTTGTTTGTTTGTTTGTTTTAAGACAGTGTCCCTCCATGTAGTTCAGGCTGACCTCAAACTTTCAACAATCCTTCAGCCTCAGCCTCCCCAAGTGCTGGGGTTACAGGTGTGCACCACTGTGTTAGGCAGTACAAGAAGAAATGTATCACTTTCTAAACAAGCTGTTTCTTCTGGTGTTGGCTGGCTGGCTGTGTGGTGCTCAATCACAGATGGAGAGAGTGGCTGCAAGTGTCTCTGCCCTGTTGGACCCAAGCCTTCAGTTTCATCGATGTGGTGCTGGCTGGTACCCAGTATGGGGGAGGGACTGGGCTGATCCTGCCCATAAGTGGCTCTATAAAGACATGTTTTTATAGTAAAAAAGGGTTCATGTTCAATGATGATTGGAGGTGAAGCCTAGGATATAGGTGCTGTCATTGATTGTTCCAACAGTTGGTCTGTGGAGAAGTTTCTTATGGTACTCTCTTAAGGCTTCCAGACTCTGACTTGTTCTTCCCCTCACTTGAGGGTTACCTGTTGATGTGGGGCAGTTCCAAAGTAGCTTTATCTGTTTAAAACAGTGTCCTTAAGGAGACAGTTTTAGATTGGGCTGCTCATGCCCGTTTCTTACATTTGTTTGATGCACTTACTTATCGTGGGCTCTCTGTAGACTGTTGACTTTGTGGCCCTTCTTTTAAATTAATGATACTTTCCTGTATTATGGTGCATATAAAATACAAAATTCTCAATTATAACCATGCCATTTTGAAGACTTTTACCAGCTGCTAATTGTTTTGCTAAGAATATCTGATTATAGAAGGAAAGCCTAATTTTGAGGCCCTTTAGAAATAACTGTAACAATCATTTTTCTTACCTCCAGGTCTTGGTGGTAATATCAGAATGCTTCTATGTACCACTTCCACGGAATTCATCTGAACATTCTGGTAAGTATAATAAACTCATGTAGCATAGTAGTTTTGTAATTTTGTGGTGTGCTGTGGTTTGAAGTTCCTTGTTGTGCTTTTAGAGATACTGAATTTTCTTCTTGACTTGCTGGGTGACCAAACCATTACCACTAGCAGATTCCTTAAAATACATTCTTCAGGTAGATTAGGACAAAAATTCTCTTCTTCTTCTTGTCTTAAAATATATTTCTTATTGGTCATTATTTTTTTTCTTTTCAGTTTATACCCTTTATTAACTAATGGGCAGTTTTTCGTCATTCAAATTGGAACAAGAAGGAAGGAAGGGAACTTACATGTATTGAGTCTCCGCTGTGTGTCATGTTCTACCCTAAGTCCTTTTAGAAGCAGGGTTCCCACATCTTTCCTCTGCTCCATCCTGACCTGGGACTGAATATCCCTGGATTTGAGTGTCTTTATTCCTATTTGTGAGACTTTGCATAATGTAGTTTGGTGGTTTTATTAGGAGTTTAAATAAGCTCATTTTATTTTTGTTTTTGAAATTTTCAAGGCTTGGAGATTTCCATAGATGTATGATCCTTAGAATTCTTAATTGAGACATAAACCTAATATAAAAAATCTTGAGGAAAAAAATGAGATTTATTAGGCCATAATCAAAAATCCAGGGTGTTCTAGCTTCAAGCTCAGCCCAAGTGATGTTAGGTTTCTGTTTCCGTGGGCTCACTCAGTGGCTGCTACCAGTCCTAACTCACATCTTAGTGTAACAAATCCTGAAGAAGAAGAAGTCCTTTCTTGCAGACTCTGGCTCTAAGCCTCGGGAAAGTACTCTGATTGGCTCAGCGCTCATCACTTTCCTGTGCCGATTCCTCTGACCAGTGCGTCTTTGAGCCTTCTCTAGAGCACAGAATGCAGCGTGTGAGGGAGACTTTGCCCTCCATGCCTACATGCTCTGCCGAAGTCAGCATAGGCAGTGAGGTCCCCAGAGTGGTTTGGAGAAGCCCTGAATGGGGCTTGGGTGCCAACTAGAGACTCTGTCCTGGGCCGTATCAGGACTTCAAGGTGGAGAAAACTGTCACTTCCACTATTTTTTTCATTTTACAGCTAAGCACAATTCATTACTGAATTTCCATTGTTTAATCAGAGAGTTTCTCTCTTTTCTCTCTGCAGAGCAAAACCAGAGGTCAGAGGAGGCTCAGGGAGCTGAACAGTTGCAGGACGCAGAAGAGGAAAAGGATGATTCCAATGAAGAAGAAAATAAGGACAGCCTCTTAGATGATGAAGAGGAGAAAGAAGACCTTGGCGATGAGGATGAAGCGGAGGAGGAAGAGGAAGTAGACAGTGTGGCTGGTGGTGTGGAAGAGGAGAGGAGCGACGCCAACGATCAGGGTTCCCTGACAGAAGCCAGTGTGGCCCAGGAGGAAGTGGAACCTGAGGAGGCTAACGGCGACACCCTCGAGCAGCCCTCCTCAGCCGGCACAGAGGCAGCAGAAGACTCACTGAGGCAGCGCAAGAGTCAGCATGCCAATAAGGCACTGTAGATTTCACAACACTTCCCTCTGGCCTGCAGTTTAAACCAAATCCTTAACTTTTCCCCGAACGAGCAAGCTTCTCTTAAAAAATGGCCAGTGATCATATGGTCTCACGGCAGTAAGCCTCATAGGTCCTGTCTGAGGAGAATTTTTCAGGTGTGACAATCAGGAGACAGAAAACCAGTGGAGTTAGGATCTGTTTGGGGACTTGGGGAGGAGCAAGTTCATTTACCTGGCTAGAGTCTTAACCAGAAGGGCAACCCCCTCCCTCATTAGCACCTTCTAGAGACAAGGAGGCCCCCAAAATGAAAGCAAAGCAGCTTCACCCTGAGCATCCTCGAAGTGCAGCGGAGGTCCTGCTTCCTTTCCATGTCATGCGGATTTGTTTTTGTCAAATTACAAAACATCAGGCACCACCGTGTGCGGGCACTTTTAACTGAGAGGGCTCTGGGTACAATTTTGGGAAGGAGCTTGGAAGTAACCCAAGCTCTTGAGATCTCCTTTGTGATGTTTTATTTCTTACCTACATTTCTCCAAGTGTTTTACAGTGGCCCACAGAGTCCCACAGTCTTCACAGTTACCCCTTAGTGAGAGGACTCAGACAGCAGTTGGGTCGACAGCCACCATGTTTGTTTTGGCTAACAGGTTTAGATGAGCCGTAACCAAAGTCCATGCAGCTGACTGCCAGGCATCTCGAATGAAATGGTGGACCCTTTGGAGATTTAGGAGGAAGTAGGGATTTTACAGAACAGATTAAAAAGTTTTTTGGCCAACATGAAGTTTTGTTTTTTTGTTTTTTTTTTTTTTCAATAAATTTCTTTAGCAAATTTTTTTTTTAAAGGCAAAAGGGCTCTAAGTCTTGCTTAGGTGATGACCTTCACAAGGTCATCTTGTGAAGAAAACTTGAATGATCTGTTGTTTTGTTTCTATCTCAAGGATTTCCCTGGCTCTTGAATCAGTTTAATAATAACTGAAAAACCATGTCTGTTTTTCAGTAATCACCTTCAGTGATGTGCTTTTGGTAAAAAAATTAATCCAAGTCAATACTGGGAAGTGAGAGACTTGATTTTGTTTCCATCGCCCTTAATCTTCTAGAGAATTGTATCTTTGTAAGTCTCTCACTACTGAATCTACCATAAGTGCCCAAGGAGCCCAATTTCTTTTACAAATCTGTCTTACCTGTTTCTCATACCTGATTTATGTCTTAGAATATATTCATAAAACTAGATTCCAAGCATATGAAAGATGCCTGAAGTCAATTGTATGCCCCTTGGGTCCAGACAGAAAAATGAGTACAGGTTTATAAAATTCAGAAAGTTTCCATCCTTAAAAAGGAACATGCAGTGCGTTTCTGTCTGGACATCCTGTGACTGTGGGGCTCATCATAAGGGAGGTTGTGAAGCTCTGCCCTTTGCTAAGGCTGCTACAAGGCTTGCACAATGGAGCTTCTTATCTGACAATCAAAGTTTAGAGCCTATGGTTATTTTTCATCTTTCCAACTCAGTTCTCAACCTCCTCTTCCAGCATGGTGAAGGTGAAGCTTAGGAACTGCCAGGAATGTGCTCACAGATGGCATTGTGATCTAAAAGTGAGGCCATCACAGCACTCGGGGACCAGGAGAGCCTTGACATCTACCCATTTCCTGCTCCTCCTCCTGCCCCCATGTGCTCACCCAGAGTGCTGTGCGTGCAGGCTTTTCGCGGTCAGAGCTGAGCTGTCCTTGTCTCCCATCCCTGCATTTCTTTCTCTTACAATCAACAGAAAGTTTTCAAACAATAGTGAGTTCAAGTTCAGGGTTAGAGAATATAGAAAGATTTCATAGTTTGGCTTTTTTATATAATGGCCCATCCCCAAATTTGAGTTTTTTAATGGGATGTTCGACTATAGAGGAAGGCATGCAGAAACAGAGTCTACCCTCCTGCTTAAACAGATAAGGCCAGTTTCCAGTTGTCCCCTACATAGGACCTCGTTCTATAACAAGACCAACAACAAATAAGGATTTGCAGTACTTCCCGAAGTTGGAAAGTGGGGAGAAGATTATCTTGGAGAAGAGATTCAGTAAAAGTTGAAGTATCTGTTCATGGGAATATTTTTTCCTGATTTTTCCTTTATTAACATCTTGGCAGAATTTAGATTTTTGTAGCAAGTGGCCAAAGTACACATCTAATTTAATTTCTCTCCAAGTGAAGCCTTTACGTTTGTTTTTAATTTTTAAGGAATGTCAAACTAAATGAAAAAAGTCAACCCAAAATAATTTAAATTTAAAATGAGCTCCACATTTCAATAGGATATTGGGATTTTTCCTGTTGATAATAAAGTTATTGCTTCAAAAATAAAAACATGCTTCCTTACGTTGCATCATCAGTCATTTAATTATAGAATAGCATTTCGTGTAAATTAAAAGTGGTTGGATGGAATAAAAATAATGACAAGTGGGAGTGCCCAACGCTTTATGTGTGGGTAGTTGGGGCAGGCTGACTTGTCAGTGACAAAAAATACCAGAAATTACCTTTTTGTTGATGTCTTCTGTGATTGCTCTCTGGAGAGATCTGTAGCCGAGCCAGTTTGCTTGGAGAGCTCATACTCCAGCAAGGCACAGACAGCTCCTCCTCTCCCTTAGAGGTGTAACCCTGGAATGGCTAAGGACAGGGCCTGTTCAGGTCGCAGGTTGTGTCCTGCGTGGCTGCACTGACAGCCTCATCTTGTGAATACGACATCTTGTGAATATGACAGAAATAACCACTGGAGTAAATATAAGCAAGGGTAGCCGGATTTGACTTTTGACAGTTGAAAAAGCCACAGTTTGACTTTTTATGGCCAAAACTCCTTGTTGTTACCTCTGATGTTGCAGTATGACTTGAGTGTAAGGTAGTGTTCAGAAGTGATCCTGTAACACCTTTGGGGTAGATGATTAAAAACTGCTATTTAAAGGAAGACTTACATAATACTTTTTATTAGTACGTCCTTCGGGTATGAAGCTGGTACAGTATTTTGCTTTACAGGATGGGAAGCATTCAAGAGATGAAAAGTTTGAAAGAGGGTAAACTTGAGATTTCAGCATGTGATCTCTGGAGTGAAGTGACAGGGCCTTGTGCTTTTGCTGGTATATATCAGTAGATAGTCTGTGTCCTTCATCTCTGTGTTATAGTGTTTCTCCTGCCAGTATTATAGATGTATGGTAGACCCATCCTCAGAAATACCAACATTTTGAAGATGTAAATCCTTTGTGCCAACAGAAAGTTCCTCCATGCGTAGTACCTTTAACTCAGTCCTACAGTGTGACCCTCTTGGGAAGCTTACAGCTTGTCTTGCAAAAGCCAAATAATAGAGTCATCACGTCTGAGGAAACCTGATGGGGCAGTTTTTTGAACAGCTGTTCTGAAGTAGGAGGTTCCCTTGGAAGCCTTTGATAGCTTCAGCAGGGAATATGGCCTTCAGATGACTTGTTCTTAGCCGAGTTTTCTGTAGACTGTGACATTGTATATATGTGACTTGTACAACTTTGACATGTTTTTGTGTAATCGTTTGTTACCAGACTGCTTCTTCCTGGAAATGCAATTTTTATACTAAAGACATTGCTTATTTGTACTGTAATACATTGTTATTTATATTCCTTGTAATCGTCTAGTTTATTTAGCCCAGTGCATTTAATTATTTTTCTCTCTATCCATGTACTCTTTGCTTCCTCAAATAGCATCTGCAGCACCTGAAATGAGCAATCAAGATACTGTTTGCAGCAGGACATTGCCTGAATCGCAGATCATCTGATCACAGAATTGTACATAATTCTTGATCGCATAAGATTTCATTTTATTGTAAATTTCCATTTTCATCAAAACATAATGATAGTAATGACTAAGTGAAATCAAAATGACGTATTGCTTTTCATATAAGTATTTTCACAAAAACCATTTGCCTAGGCAGTTAAAATATTACTTTGTTAAAAAATATCTTTTCTCTGTGTTTATTCTCCATCTGTGTGTTCATTCCCTTCTTCCCGCATCTCTGGGCTTCGTGAAATGAAAACCAGATACACTTTATCTGCTCAAGGCCAAGTCCAGAAATCCACCGACTCCCCTCATTGGGGCCTATTACGTTACCCATAGAAGCTCGCTGGATGGACCTCTTGGTTCTCACTCTCTCTGGAGGCCTGGAGGGAGGCCAAGAGTGGAGCAGATGACAAATGACGCTGCCTTTTCTGCAAGACACTGAACTGACCTGGTCCAGAACTTTCAGAAAACCTCATTCTACATCTAATTCCTCCCTCCCACTCACCACCGCTATCACTGTAGCCATGGAAAAGCACACAGGAGTTTGGACAAGTCTTCACATGCTTAGACACTAATGTAAGGGGATTTAATTTTTCTATGGGAAGATGGTAGTGCAAGGAGTAGAGAAGGAAAGTTATTAAATTTGCACACCATGAAAGCCCCCCAAAGCAACTCATTCAGAGTGCTTATTTGTCCATGCAGAGAAATACGTCTGCTGTCAGCATCTTGGTTTAGATGAACTGGGTTATCCATTCTTGGTGGAGATTCTTTGCTAAACCAGCAGGGTAAATTCTGGTTTTCAGTGGTGTTATTTTTTTGTTTTTGTTTTTTAGAATGATGCATGCACAGTTTCTAATTAAGGAACTTTTTCTCCCATTCTTCAATTTCACTATCTGTGGTAGGCAATCAGTAGTTTGTAGGCTTTATAAATATTCCTAAATGAATTCTGATCAATATACATATCATATTAAACATTATCTTTTGGAAAGTTTTATGTCATCTGAATGCACTGTGTGTTCTGACATAGCAGTGACCTGTTCTTAAAATAAATTTAGTTACTTGATTAGACACCATAGAATAGAGCCAGAGAGTATTTGTTCTCCACAAGGACAACCTGCTATGTTTACAAAATCACAGGTCTTTTACCCTGTGGGATGCCTTTCAAACTCTAGCTTTCTGTTGGAATTCCAGGCAGAAATTGTACTCTAACAAGTGGCATTAGAAATTAACAGATTGTAGGTTGACCATCCACTTGTGGTTCTTTTGACTAATAATAGCATATTCTAGTATTTTTCATATCTTTGCCCACTCCATAGATAAGAGCCAGCTGTGGGCAAGGCCATATGATTATGTTCGTGGCACCAAGTCATTTGGCCCTTCTCCAGACTCTTCATCCTACTGACTGGAAAAGTAAGGATTACCTTCTAATAGAGCTAATTGTCTTTGAAACAGTATTTCATATAAGATTATGGACATTTGTTTTAAAACTGCAGGTCTGCTCTTACACTGTAGCAGAAAGATAAGCCCTCTGTCCTGTGATCCAAACACAGACCTAGTGGTAGTTTCAAGTAATGACCTCAAGAAGTCAGGCTGACTCTTCTTGAGCTAGAAAAACTGTCTTATTCATAAAGTGCAAACTAAATGGTGATTTAAGGTCCAACCCAAATCAGGAGAGATCTTTGTCTACATTAGATCAAAATGAGGTTTTTTGATCAAAGGAATTTTTAAATTGGTGGTTTTTAGTGAGCTAATGATGTGAATTGTTATTACTTGATAAGCAATATGGTTTAAGGGAAAATTTGAAACTACCCACTACAAAAACCAGAAACCTGGCTAAAATACAACATCTTATAAAAGGCAGAGATGAGCTCAAATAACTTTAAGAAAAATTCATAGGGTGTAAAGTCTATGAGGTAAATAAACACAAGCTGGTTCTAGGGTTCAGACTGGTGGTGAGGGTAGAAAGTTACTGTTTCAGAAAAGCACAGGGTTTATATCATGCTGTCTGGGAATAGGACAGCAAGTGAAGTTTTAAGGTGGGAAACTGAAACTCACATGACATAAAATTTCCATCTACATCCTTGGTAAACCAAAAACTACAAGAAAGCCTATTAATCTATGTGTTGAAAAACTACAGTAGACTTCTCTAAGAAACCAGTCACGAGTCAGAATTTATAAAATCGGGGGTTTAAATTGTTTCTATTTTCATTGCCTCAGACCCACAAAATTAAAAAATTCTTATAAAACTAGTCCAGGTGACAGGTGAGGGGTATACTGGTAAAAGCAAGAACAAAACATGTTGAAAACATTCCAAGTTATGCTTAAGGGTTCCCACAGATAAAGCTCCATTTAAGACAAGCTCACAATCCAAACTTGCAAATTGTACAAGGAAGCTATTCATCAAACCAGTAGGATTAGACTTGCCTAAACCCTTTAGGTCAAATTGTTAAATAGAAACTTTAACAATTTTTAAACATTAAAAACTTCAATGTAAAACTAGTCATTTTCCCCTAAAAATAATATATTTGAGGTTCATCCATCCTGCATATATTATTCTATCGTTTGTCAAGTGTGCTATACTTGTGTTCTTTTTCACTGTATGAATATACCACACTTTCCTTATCTCTTCCACTATTGTCAAGCACATAGATAATTTCTGCTTAGCTGGCCCTCTGAATATTTTGATTGTGAGACATTCCCTGGATAATTTTATGAGCAGTCTTTAGAGAAATAGAAACATTCCTCAGGATTTGCCAGAAAGCAGTGTATATTAGATGCTTGGGAAGACATTCTTTGGGTAGGTCTTCCAGCTGAATCCCAGCTCACATCACTTGCTAATGATACGAACTTGAGCAAGATTCCTAAGTTGTCTTCACCTCGTGTTTACAGTGAGGATATAGAGATTTCCACATCCATTAATAAAGAGCTCAACAACTGTAACCAATACTTTCAATGAGGACAACCAGAACAGCTACTTTAAAAGGTAGATTATATACCATGACATCACAATTTATACGAAACTGTGTCAGGCCAACATCTAAGAGTAAGCCTGGTGTTTGGGCTGTTTTTCTAGGAGGGATGAGTGTTTGTTGAGAGGCTAAGTGATGCTCTTGAGAACCTTTTCTGGCTAAGGAGACAGGGCTTAACTTAAAGGTGAGTTTGTGAAGTTCCTTGTTCCGGTCTCAGAAGTAACTGACACTCAGGAATAATGGTGAACCAGAAGTAAACAGACCCACATAGCCACATAGAGATCAAAGCTCAACCTTTAACTTGAAAACAAATGATTGTGTAAGTGCAGAAAAGATGATTGTGTGAGGTTGCCTGGAGGCCGCCCCTCTCTGCTATGACATGAGCTAATAAAATCATGAGGTTAATATAGCCCTATATTTGTATATTGTTACTTTCAAAGGACCATAGTCTAGCAATCAGAAGTAAAATAGTTTTCACAGATTCCTTTCAATCTGTCTCTTTTAGTCCCCCAAGCTATCCCCTCCATTTTTTACTCTCCCTAAAACTTCTCTATAGTGTCCACAAGGTGTGAGCTCTACTTGTTTTCTTTTTCCCAAGCATTTTCCTCTTGCCTACTACTTCTTCATCTTCACTCTTTCTGGAGAAAGGTCCTATCTCCACAGCCCCTTTCTTACGTAGTTACACCACCTCTGCTTATGAGGTTGTTTTCACTGAACAATTAAACAGCAGAGCTCCAGGAAAGTAGTAAGTACCAAATATCACAGTTAGTTTGTTTTGATCGAGAGAGGAGGTGAACGGGGCCACGATTATCCACTTGTTCAAAGGAATTGTGCCTGTGTACCAATTACAATTTCATCTGCAGATCCCCAGCTTTTTTAGTTTATCCTGAGTGGATGAGAATTGCTGCCAGCTTGCTGTCACAGAAGGAACTGTCAGGCTCAGCTGCCTCTGCCGAATGTATCATTGTCCTCTTCACAAATGTTGAGGCCAGAGAATACAGATTTAGGACTTGAATACATCCTCCTTCTCCTGTCCCTGTATGGAGAAACTGTGTCCTCCTTCAGGGTCTGCATTCCCCATGTAAGCAAAGATGTTGCAGCTGTTAAACACCCTTATGGAGAAGGCTACCACTAGAAACTCCTCCAAAACATAAAAATCTATTGGTGACTTTCAGCCTTCCAAGTTTGGCTGGCAGGCTAGAGGTGATTCTCAGATGGGCACACCCCTGCTTAGTCTCCCCTAATCTCTCATCGCAGGAGACTCCTGGAACCTTACTGGCCCCCATTCCCCAGGAAGAACTGCGTGTAGGGTGCCTTTACTCGGATTAAAATGCAGCCAGTGTTGGCTTGCTCCCTCACCTGCTTCACTCAGATTTGCCAAGCTTCATTCCGTCACTCCCGGCAGCCTTTCTACCTTAGAAATTCTTCTAGCCACTCATACACACATCCTCTCTAAACCATGCATAACATTAAGGTCAACTTCTCTAGCTTTTACTTCATTAGTCTCCCATGGTGTGGGGTATTAGGTGCTGTCCAGCATCATCTCAGTGAGATGCTCAAGTCACAACTCAATGGTTTTTGATTTGGCCCTTCATTGGCATATTTTCCACAATTCTCAGGTTTCTGGAAGCCATTATTGTGCTTTGTTTCAAAATCTGCTTGAATTTGACTTCCACAGTACCAGCCAGATCTCTCTGCAACAAATCTGTTCACCAGTGGAGCAGGACAGCCACTTCTGACTGTTCCAAGTGCCTTTCTCTACCATCAACAACAGAGTGTGATTTCTTAAGAAACTGAAGCCATCTCACAGATACCCAGTTTGCAGTTTCACAACGGAAATTCCTTCAAAGACAATCTCATTTTTGATAAATCCTCTTTGCTCCTTAAGCCTAATTTTCAAATTAGAACTATGATTCTCTGTCCCTCAGCACCACCATCAAATCAGTTTTCATGTTGTCACAGTCTCAGCCATGCTGCCGTGGCTTTCTAGAGTTATTTCCAGAGCCCACTCCTCAGTTCCCCCTTCTCTGCTCCATGTTCCAAGAGTCTGGCTTTTATACCAAATACTCAATATGGACATAATAATTTAACCCATGTTGCAGCAGGATATATCACATCACTAATCTGCAGACATGGAGCATGGAGACTCACTGCCAAAATCTTTATTTATTTATTTATTCATTTATTATTATTTTTTTTTCCCAGTACCGC